CTCCTGTAAACATATAAGGACTGCTATCTTCATCAACTTGCGGCTGCTCATTTATTTTGTGTCATTCTACTCACCTGTTCTCTCCCAATCCTGCCCTCTGCTCCAATAAAGTTTTGTCTGGACTCATCTAACCCCTGTTCTGTGTATATTTCCTGACAGTACATTTAGAGTCATATTGTGAAATATTATTAATAATTTAAAAGAACTGTTTTCTACTTGCATATATACTGTGTATATATATATATATATATATATATATTGTGACGAGTCGGCTGCCTCCCCCCTAATTATCATCATCAACCCCTCCCTTAATCGCTGCCCTTCACCAGGCTCCCGACAGGCGTGGGTGTCTGAGAGAGACGGGGCGCATAATCATCCACAATGCACAAGTTACTAAAGTTATTTGACGGTAAGGAGAGAGAGAGCTAGAGAGAGAGCACGCACTTCTGTTGCATGATCTTGATTGCTGTTCACTCCATTAGCACATGCATTTGGATTAAAACTAAATCATAAATATAAAGCGAACAAAAATTATAGGGGCATTCGCTATAAACAACATTTATTTTAAACGTCAAGCATACACGACTTTATAGCAAAATTGAAACTAGCAGACTGTGTGAAATGCGCCAAGTGTCTCTCTCATTCTGCATTTATTTTGTGTCATTCTACTCACCTGTTCTCTCCCAATCCTGCCCTCTGCTCCAATAAAGTTTTGTCTGGACTCATCTAACCCCTGTTCTGTGTATATTTCCTGACAGTACATTTAGTCATATTGTGAAATATTATTAATAATTTAAAAGAACTGTTTTCTACTTGCATATATACTGTGTATATATATATATATATATATATATATATATATATTGTGACGAGTCGGCTGCCTCCCCCCTAATTATCATCATCAACCCCTCCCTTAATCGCTGCCCTTCACCAGGCTCCCGACAGGCGTGGGTGTCTGAGAGAGACGGGGCGCATAATCATCCAGGTCTGGCAGCGTGTGATGAGGCACACCTGAAGTGAATGGAGCCTTGTCACCGCCGCTGTTAAATGCCGAACGCGCCTCTCCTCGAGAGACCGGTCTCTTCCCCCGTGCATGCACGCTGGCGTCCTCGTGAGTCCAGGAAGGGAGCATTGAGGGATTTCCGGGCCACCGAAGACGCAAGCTGCCGGACCCGCGGTCCGGACAAGAACTGCACCCATTACATGGCCGTCTGGCCAGCATGCCGGGCTGTCTAGTCCCGTCAAACGCTGTGGGCGAAGAAAAGGATGAAGCCGCCGCCCCTCGCGCCCCGGACCAGAGAGGGGAGCGCGTGCGGTTCGCCGGACTCCGCCCCTTGCCTGGACCCTTCCTTCTCGAACCCTACCCCACCTTCACCATTTCCCCGCACAACGAGGACACCAGATCCCCGTTGGGATGCACCGATACTGCGCTCTTGTACTCGTACTTGTAAAAATGCCCCGATAGCAAAAAGCCGATATCACACAACGTGTGAATAGAGCTGTGTCCAGAAGAAGAAACACCAAGAACAGAACAGCAGAGAGTAGATTCAGGGGCTACTCCCAGTGTGTCAATCACTACTACTTCGTTTTGTGATTACAGTATTGAGCTGCTGCAATGGAGCAGCTCTAATGCGCCATTAAAATGAACAGTGAAAGTAACAAAAGCTTTTACAATACATTTTAACAGGTAAATTAAATGTGGAAATAACGGAAGGAAGTATCTGTTTGCTAAATGAAGCCATCTAACATGATTCATATTATTATTATTATTATTATTTTGTTTCTGTACCAAGTATTAAAAAAAAAAATTACAAATGCTGTAAAAATACAGGTATTTAGGAGTACCAAAAATGAAAGCATCGGTATAGGACTAATTCTGAAAAATGTGGTATCGGTGCATCCCTATATATATATATATACAGTATATATATATATATATATATATATATATCATAGTCACATGATCCTTTAGAAATCATTTTAAAATTTTTGATAATGAAAACAATTGTGCTGCTTAATATGTTTATATGGAATAGAAATGTCTTTACTGATACTACTGATTACTGATAGATTAATGCATTCTTGCTGATTAACAGTATATAGATACTTAGATAGATAGACAGATAGATATAGATTCCGACTCAAGATGCCAGATTCAAAACAATTTATAAATGTAAGTAATACAGCTAATAACATCTACTGTATGTAAATGATGTTTGACACAAACTTTCAAAGGTTTGGTCTGAACATTTACTAAATATATATTACAATTCTCTCTGCTCTCCCCATTCAAAAGATGTCTGGTAAAAAGCAGATAATTTTTTTTTTTTTTTTTTTTAGGTGAATAAAGACGGCAGCCTTGAGATAGAAATGAAGCGAGCAAACTGCAGTGGGAAAAATAGGTGTGATTAAATATATATGCAGTCATGTTAAGCAGCTCTTCTGCCCAATTTGTCATGCAAATTATAGATGGCAGCTTTGCAGCCTGAGACATGAATCATTGATGTGAATCCAGTGTTTTGGTGTGGATTAATGTTGTAAATCCACACGGCTTAAAAGTGGAAAAGCGATTCCCATCTCGCAATTATGTGATGATATGACATCTTATGAGCATCCGTGTGCAACAGTGCATGCAAAAGAAGGCTTGTGCCAGGAATGGCTGTGAACCGCACCATGTAAAAGGAGGAAAATTTAATTTGACGCACTGAGTATGGTGTATTTAACAGATTTAAACAAATGTATTTTATGATTTCATTGCAGTGATGTCAAATGCTTCACATCAGTCATAAGGCATCTGGATTCTTCGGACTTTAATAATGACCCTTGTCTCTGCTGATGTTAACTAAACTAAAGCATGTGAAGTCTGCCTTTAAAGCCAAAAACACTCTGCACACTGTCATGTCCAATGTCATACAAATGAACAAATTATGAAAAAATCCCCCTTGCTTTCTGACGAGATGAAAGGATGAATATAGAGAAAAAACATCACATCACCTGTTTACTTTGGAAACGAATGGCTTTTAATGTATGCTATAAATATCTAAATAATGTATGCGGATAAATATTTCACGCAGGATTTTTAAGACTTTCTGCACTAGTTTGAAGCTTCATTAGGAATTCCCTCACTCACCCTGCACCGAGCAATTTCAGGTTTTATCGGTCGTATGTTGCTGATATGATGAAATTTTAAAAAGCGTGTGACGGCGGCATGTCAGATAAACACAAGTGTCTCATCAGACGAACCATAAGCCTTTTATAATCCCGCTGCATTAAAATCAGAAGGACACAGGAAACTCTGAACTGTAAACCTTAATGTGTCACACAGTGATGTTGTGTGGCAAGGTCAGAGTTCACTCAAACAAGGTTTGAGTAATTTTATATCAAGTGGTAGTATTTAATGCATGTTGTGTTTTTATTATTTAGAGTATTGTTCATATTGCACGATATATTGCCCATATTACACATATTTTGCACTTTCCTTGAATAGGGCATACTTTGTCCTGTATTACTTTTGTAGAGTACTACAGGCACAAATCCCATGTTTATGTTGTAAGAACTATTATGAATGTTAGATATAATACTGCATCGCACAATTAAAATACATTATTTTAACTTATAGCCAAATAATGGTAGTAAAACATATATTCATTTGTTAACTAAGTACCGAAAATGTAATATTTACACATTATCAGTTTATTAACAATTTATTGACTGCATTCATCAAGCTCAACAAGAAACCCCTTTTTTTATTTATGGGAAATTAGTTTATCAGCAAATGCAAATCATTATTTGGTTCAAAACAAGCCTCTTTTTTTCTTGAGGTTGACAGTCACCATACTTTTTTTTTTTTAAGAAAACCGTTTCAGGTCCAATTTTGTACCCTATTTGTGGAAAGTGCCTTCTACCATTGAGCACGCAGTAGCTGAACTAGGTTTTATGCATTGATTTTCTTGCATAAATTTTCTTTTTTTTTCCTATTCTTATTTATTTCCAACAGCAAAAACCTCAAAAGTTTTGAGTTATAAGATATGGCATGCTCTGTAAATGTAATCTGACATCACATTTGTCCTCTTTTTGGTGCAGATTTCCCCCTGATATAAAAAGTAACTACTGAAGTCCTCACAATGCACAACATAATTTGAACTATAATGATGATGTTAAATATTTGATTTACTAATACTACAAAATGTCCTAGTTTATGACCAAACCCGTGTCACTGTTGCACTCTGGAAAACCACATTTTATTACCGCTGAGAGTCATCATAACTGTGTGTTTTTTTTTTGTATTATGTATGTTATGTTGTGTGTGTCAAACAAGTGCAGTGCTGTGGAAAATAATTTCCCCCTTGGGGACAATAAAGTTAAAGTTATAAGTTAAATGTCAAGCCCTGTCAAGTTACTTTCAGCTAAATGTCATGTGAATACATGGCAATGGACTTTAGAAATTATTAAGTGGTTTAAGTGCTTCTTGTAATACCACAGCTGATGTATTTTACATTAGAAACCGGATCTTCTCATAGACAGTGCAAAGATGAGTGGAGACAAGCATAGACTGGAATAAAATAGATGTGTCTGACATAATTGCACATCTGTTATGAATGTTTAACAGCTCTGTTTAACATCTTAGTTATTTGTGGTTAAATATAAATAGGGTACTACTTGGATAAACCTGGGTGACACTAATGCGCAAAGTAGACTACTATCTATCTACCTATCTATAGATTATGATCACCTGATTATGGTGTTGCTTATGCTATAGTTTGCAAATTAACAAAAATTATTTTGTATATTTTTTTTCTTTATAGTTATTTTCCTATTTTATGATCACCTGATGATGGTGTTGCTTATGCTATAGTTTGCAAATTAACAAAAATGATTTTGTATATTTTTTTTCTTTATAGTTATTTTCCTATTTATATAATATAATATAATATAATATAATATAATATAATATGTGTTTTTTTTAATTGTCAGTAATATTAGCTGTTAGACCTCCATACCTGCAGATGGCAGACTGGCTGTAGGCAGGGCCTTCAGTTGCACTGAGAGCCTGGCCCACCTGAGTTTGAGTCAGACCCAGAGACAGCCGGCGAATTTTAAATGCTTTGGCGAATTCTCGAATCTCCTCCAGTTTCACACCATCCACCTCACTGGGGGCAGTCTGAGGGTCTACAAAACAGAAGAGAAAAGATCAAAGCTGCAACTCTCCATTCACAAATTCATAACCTTCAAACAAAGCAATGTTACTCTGTTTTTGCTTGGGTTTTTTTATATATACAAAATAATATTGACATTGAAGACCTTCTAGCTATTTCAAGCAGATGCTTGAACAAAGGATGATTTCTATGAAATCATTTTTATTTCAATATATTGCAATTATGTTTTTGATTTGGCTTATCTACCTCTTGTTACTTTCTTGCATGATCTAATATAACATGAATATCTTAAGAGTCTTTAAAGACTAAATGCATTACTGAATTTAAGCATAATATGACTCTGACAAGGATGACTTCAAAATAGCTTCCATTTATCTATTATTCCTGTTATTTTCCAACCATTGACTGATTTTTCTTAAGATATGGTTTCTGATTTACAGGCTTACATGTAATGTAAGTGTGAAAGTCAGTGACAATAAAATCAACACTACATTGAAATCTGTTCTTATTAGCCAAACTAGGAATTACACTTCTCAAATGAATGTTTCCGTGAATTGCATTCTAAAATGCCTTTCTGAAAGCAATGCATATTCATTTTATGCCATATTATTGCTCATTTTGCTATAAAATACAGATGTATGCAGAGGTTCAATTTCAATTTGATTAATTTAGCAGCTTTAGAAATGCACTTCAGGGTGTGTAGTTTCAAGACGGCATTTTAGTTTAATAAAACCTGATTGGGTATTATACATCACTGCCAGGTGGTCTTACATCTTGCTTACATAAGAAAAGTTTGGCAACTAAATAATTCATGGGCGTCATTATGAATGAATTATTAAAAGAATCCATCAGATATATTTAAAGTCAAAATCTATTGAACCAGCACCCTGTCACTCCCCATATGCAAATCAGATGTTGAAAGCTGAACTTGCTCCTATGCAACATTGAAAAGTTAAATGCAGCAGTTTTGTATTCTGACCACATAATAATCATTAATGACAAACCATAAGGGCACATTATTGTGTTCATCGCTGAACTGTGCAAATTAATTCCTTTTTAATAATACTCCTAGATTTAAGAATTTGACACAAAAAGGACAACCATGACCCAATCATTTAATGTCTTAACGAAGCCCAACAGTATGATTTTATATTGTTATTGTGATTTCTACCTCATTGAATAAAATACAAATAAGATTAGCCAAATCCAAAATGTGCACAGTCCTTGAAAATATGCCATTTTTTCCATCTGAGCTGAACATGGTGGCTGTGGGGGTCAGTCAGACTTTTTTTCCCCTCCATTCAAAACATGTTCTGGGGAATTAATGTTAGCCAAGGACATCGCGACAAACACAATCTGGCATGGAGAGCTGCGCCACGGCGGTAAACTGATGAAATGAATACAGAATGCTAAAGGTATTGTGTATGTTTTGAACAAAACAAAATAAAAAAGAAAAGAAAACACAACAGTCCATCGGTTATATCCACAGCAAGTTGATCAATGGCAACTTCCTGTTTATTAAATTTAAAACTCTGATGCAGATGGTTTTAGGCCAATTGGCGATGACAAATGAGAATTTATCTAAGTAAAACAGTTTTTAAAAGGGCCGCCGTGACTCTGACAGGCTGGAGGGAGTGATTTATATGTGGTGCTTCTGGAGGCCAAAGCCGTTCTAAACACAACCTTCCTTTCATTAGGTCCACAGTTTGGTCAGCTAGATGGCAGAATCAACTAAAATTTGATAAAAACAGAATAAAAAGGCAGCATATTTTTCGTTAACACTCGTCTAAAAAACAGAAATCTACAATTTTCTTTGTGTAAAGCATTTATGTGTAATAAAAGTGGATCAGCTAACACGTAGAGATGCGGTGCACACTCACTGCTGACTAGCTGCCCGACGCTAAGAGCCGAGGATGAGGATGATGATGTTGAGGAGGAGGAAGAAGCTTGGCGGAGGGGGCTCTGGCTGTGGGGCATACGGAGCAGACTTGGCTGAGACACAGGAGGAGCCTGTGAAGTCTGACCGGCCTGCGACAGCTGTGAAAACACACACGTGAGCTGTTACACACACTTAAGAAGGTTCATACACACAAGGTGAATTTGATATATTAGCAGTATATACATGGTACTTCATGGTACCTGAATTACCATGGTAGATGTTGAAGGTAATAAAGTAATATTCAAGGTTCAGTACAAGTTAAATCCAATCAACAGCATTTGTGGTAAAATGTTGATTACCATTTCATTTTCATTCATTTTGACTCATTCGTATGTTTTGTTAAAAAAAGGGATTGAGGTTATGGTGAGCCATTTACAATAGAAGGGAATGGGGTCAATTTTAGAGGATTTTAAAACAAATATAAAACTTAGAATTTTACAAAAGCACTCACGTTAATTAGTCTGTTAAAAAGTATTATTTGAGTTGCAAACTCATAATTTTTTGGTTGTTTTTGGTTAAAAACTAAACGTTATCATTGCAAAGAAGCTGTAAAATTGGATATAATTTACACAGGAAAGGCTAATAAGTTGCATTCTCACACTAAAATCATGTTACCACACATATTGTTTCCATCTTGTGATTATTCTATTGTCTTTCTTTACCTGTAGAAAAAATGACTTTATTTGTATGATTTTGTTTCTCAGCATTTATGAACACACTATTCAGAAAGCATCACAATTTTGAAGATTAAATCTGATCATGAAAGCTGATCTGATCATGATAAAATAAAGAGATTGTTTCCATTTTAAGAGACAAGAGATTTGGAGTCATGTGGTTATTTACAAGGCAAAACTGCTGAGTCTTTTATTAGAAATTCATAGCCTCTTTATTAGAGATGAAAAATGTGGACGGGTGGAGATTTTAGAGGTTGCATTCACTCCCCATGCAACTTCTCATTGAACATGACTGTCAGATACTTTAAAGTGCACAAAAGAAACAACTGTATTTGGCTATTCAGCACTGAAACCTTAACACAAAAAGGAAAACACACAGCCCAGAAATCAAAATTATGTGTCTACAATATGAGTCATTATTATGGGCAATGTGGCATGACTGCAGCACCATACATTTTCATGTTTTTTGCACCATCGAGCACCTCTTTTAGATGGTGCATCTCCACTCTTCAAGAAAGCAAGCGTCTCATGTCTAAAAGTGGGTTGGCTTCTCTCTGCTGTTCTCTTGCACTATTAATTCTCCTCTGTGTGTTTGTGCGTGAGTGTGTTTTTCTTTGGATGCTGAGAGATGTCAGTAGTGTTGCACACACTGTCAGAACTGTCGACAGGTCTGTGAGAATTACCGTGCTTCAGTGGATCTCTCTGCCGCCACTGTGTATGACAGCCATAAATTATCACTGCATGAAAATGTTTGGGAGTCAATTGAAATGCAGACAAATCCACAAACATTATTTCAAATGCATTCCTGCGGTTACGTACGTGATCAGAGGTTCCAGTAAATATGACACGGAGTTGCTCCAACAGAAATGAGGTTGACCTATAGATGCTTTATAGCCAACCGCTGTAGATTATAGGGTGGGATGGGGAATAATATGCATGCCTGTATAGTCTGCTGTGTTTTGCACTTTTGTTAGGCTCTTTATTTGCATTATTTTAGGTGCAAGGCCTTTAAATGCAGTGTTCCTATGCTGGGCTGTATGATTGGGTTATCTTGGCATATAGTATCTGACTTATACGTTTTTGGCTTTATTATGTTGTATATTATAGGCTACTATGGGATTATTAGCACATAGGCATTTTTCACAAAATGAATGTCAACACATCAGAGTCATATTTAGCACTTTAAATGTTTCTTATGTTGAAATTTTATATTCAATAATATGTTTTCAGGTACTTCATATAAAATCTAATTTACATCAACACACCATACAGTCATTATTTTAAACAGTCATTGCATACCTGCTGTCCAGGTTTAATGGGTGACAGTGTGATTCCCTGGGTGTTGATCACTGGCAGGATCTGGTTACCAATCACAGTGGCTATAATCTGACCCTGTGCATTGGTCAGCAGCTGCGGTGTGACTGGCTGGACCTGCAGTGAGGGAGTGCCGCCCCCTGATTGGCTGGAAGGTCCTACAGAGTTTGGCATCAGAGGGATCGTACCAATGATCTATTAAGACGGAAGGG